GAACTCAGAGAGATCTGGACATGCTGGGAGGGATTCCCTAGATTCGGGTACTGGGATGGGAAGACTCTAACTCTGAGTGGCAGCATCCTAGGAGCTGGGGTGCTGGGCGGCGTGAAAAGGAGAAAGGGAGCTGAGCCCCGCCACTCACTTTCCTGCTTCCTGACTGCTGCCCTGGGATCAAACACCCCAGGCTCTTAATCACGGCAGTCCCCCAACCCTGACATTGTTTCTTTGTTTTGTTGGTTTCTCTCTCTCTCTCTCTTTTTTTTTTGGGGGGGGGGGAGTTGAGACAGGGTTTCTCTGTGTAGCTTTGGTACCTGTCCTGGATCTCGCTCTGTAGACCAGGCTGGCCTCGAACTCACAGAGATCCGCCTGCCTCTGCCTCCCCAGAGTTGGGACCAAAGGCGTGCGCCACCACCACCCAGCCCTTAGACACTTTTTAATCCTCTCAATAATTCTGGAATACAGTGTGGGGTGTGATAACTCCTTTGTCTGCAGAAGCATACGCAGGACTGTCGAGTTATGATGGCAGACGGCCTCATTTCAAAACAGAGGACTGGCAGCAGATGGAACGCTAACTCAGGAGTGTCCTTCAGTGACGGGCCCTGAAGTTTTCATTTCCATTTTCAAGCATCTTACACCTACTTCGTTCTCCCCTTTCTCCGAAAGGCTGGTATGGAGTTCCCAGGAGTAAGCATTGAGAGCGAGCTGGTCCTGCATCCGCCCTGACTCCTCTCGGCACTCCTGCCAACAACACCTGCTTCGCTGCGTTTGGTCTGCGCCCATGTGACTAGAGACAGCCCCGGTGTGGTGTGACTAGAGACGGCTCCGGTGTGGTGTGACTAGAGACAACTCCTGTGTGGTGTGACTAGAGACAGCCCCGGTGTGGTGTGACTAGAGACAACCCCGGTGTGGTGTGACTAGAGACAGCTCCGGTGTGGTGTGACTAGAGACAGCCCCGGTGTGGTGTGACTAGAGACAACTCCGGTGTGGTGTGACTCTCAAAAACACAGAGGGGAAGGCGCCTGCTGACAAGCTTCAGGACCTGAGCTCAATCCTCCCCAGTTCCCGGGACTCCCACACAGATAAGAAGTATGGCTGAGCCTATATATACATTCACATGGTGGGATGGGAAGGGAGGGGAGAAAATCCAGCCATACAACAAAAAGAGGAGCTTTCCAGAGCCAGACAGCAAAGCACACGTGCTTTCTAGGACAGAACTATCAGCCCACTGAAGGCCCAAGCCAAGCCGCAGACGCACACACAGTCTCGGCCATCTTCCCTCTCTCACCATCATCCTTACTTCAGGTCTTCATCATCCTGCCCGAGTCCCTAACTGCATGATGACAACTCAAACGTCACTGTGCCTTAGGCACCATGAAAAAGACAGAAGCCAACTAGACTTAGACCGGACTTCTGCAGCATAGACCCTCTTAACTGGTCCACAGCCCCACCCTCTTGAAATAAGCAGGCAAAGTTTCTGAGAGCCCCAGGCCTAGGAAGGCAAAGTACAAAGTCATCCTGCCCCTCAAGACCTGCCTGCACACTGAACATCCCAAGACCTCAGATCCTGTAAGATATGAGACCCTCTTTCTGCTCCAGAGCAAAATCAAAGCTGTCTCCATGTTCCTACCCCTCCTCGAACATTTCCCTCAGGGGGAAGTCAGAGAAAGGACCATGACACTCCCACTCAGACAATGCCCTTCCGACATGCGACATTCACAAATGGACGGGAGGTCTAAAGCCATCCAGACCTCGCCCAAGAGGAAGGCCCACAGCATGTCATACGAAATATTCTCTCAGATCTTCAAATTTTCAGATTATAGTCACTAAGGGCAAAACTCAAACATGTTGTATATATTTCTGTATTTCTGGCAGGCGGCTCAGGGCTTGTTCAAGACAGAAAGGCATGCCGCTTTCTTGCTGAATAGACAGACGACATCCAGTTGGTAAAGAGCTTAAAGGAGGTGCAGATCTGCAGTGAATTCTGTCCTATTTCCACAACCCATGGACTCAAGCCCATCTGATTATCACACACAATGGCTCTCTCAGGAGCTGATGTATCCCCTCAGCTAGAGGAAGACACTCGGCCCCACATCTCACTCCCTGCAGGACAGCAGGGCCCAGCAGGGAAAGGTAGCAGACACAACTACAGTGATCATTACTCACAGGACTCTGGACCTGCTCAGAGCAGACGCCAGCAGATTAGGTTAAGAGAAGGATTTACTAAGGGATAAGAACAGCTCTCAGAATCACTGGGACATATAAAGAAACAACCCGCAGACCAAGGTTCTAGAAGCAATTCCCTAAAACACACTTTACAGCTGGACTGCCAACGGGGCTGCTGCCTCTAGGATGGGCCCAGATCAAATAAAAGCCAAAGAAACCAGCCAGCTCAGGAAGCGGACACGGTGGCTGCCAACTGCACAACTCTGTCTCCTTTCCCAAAGCACACGCCACCCAAACAGGCCAGCTCCCTTCTCTGCCCCCTGGCTTCTGGCCCATGAATAAGACAGTCTATGCAAGGCTTTATACTAGAACCTGTTTCCCAAAGGAAACTGAGCTGCATCTACTCTAAGAGTCTGGAAAAAGCATTCTCTGGCCTTCTGGTTCCTTATGCAGTGAGGGGACTGGAATAGATGTGGAGCTGGCCTACCCGGAGCCAAGCCCTGTCAGAAAGCTTGGAACACCACTCCATCCCCATCAACAAAGGGGGGCTGCAGTCACAGACCCTGTGCACATCAGTCTGCACAGCAGGGCTGGGCTGGGCTGGGACTTCCCATTTCTAAGCGATGCTGGCCGATGCTGAGGTGCTAGTCTCCTAACCACACTCTTAGCAGCAGGGACTATGACCCAATCCTGTGTGTATAGGTACTGCCTTGTGGACGCACAGGCCCACTTCTATAACAGAGGTTGGTCACATGACACCTGTGTGGTGCTTCTGTCTAACTGACTAAAATTAGAGATTCTCAGTGTCTTCATTTATTGTTCTCAGAGCCAAGTCACAGCACGTGAAAGCTCTCTAGCCTTGAGCACAGTCAACCTCGGGCAGAAGCTGGTTTGAGCATGATGTGAGAAACGGCTCTGCAACACCAAACAGTCTGCTGGGGTTCAGGGGGGACCCTTCCCTCCAAAGAGAGACCGGAGGAAAACATGCTCAGAGACCCCGCGTTAGAAGGGTGTGAGGACGGAACAGTGATGGCCAAGCTGCCACCACAGGGGACAATCCAAGGCAAAGGCCCAAGCGAGAACAGTGGGAAAGAAGGGCAGACTCGGAGGCCGGGCCATTGCCGCTGCAGGAGTCCCAGCCCAGCTGTCACCTTAGCAGCCCAGGTGTGCAGAAAGACAGGCAGGACAAGAGTGACGGAGCCTCAAGTGGAGAAAGAGTGCTCTGGGTAAGAAAACTCGGGGCTGGAGAGATGGCTCAGAGGTTAGGAGCACTGGCTGCTCTTCAGAGGCCCTGAGTTCAATTCCAGCACCCACATGGTGGCTCACAACCATCTATAGTGGAATCTGATGCCCGCTTCTGGCGTGCAGGTATACATGCAGAACACTCATATATAAAATATAAATAAATTAAAAAAGAAAAAAGAAAAAACCTCAGAGGGCAGCCAGGTGGGTGATGGTGGTGCACACCTTTAATCCCAGCACTCAGGAGGCAGAGGCAGGCGGACCTCTGTGAGTTCAAGGCCAGCCTGGTCTATAGAGCGAGATCCAAGACAGGGACCAAAACTACACAGAGAAACCCTGTCTCAAAAACAAACAAACAAAAAACAAAAAAGGAGGAGGAGGAGGAGGAGGAGGAGGAGGAAGAGGAGGAGGAGACTCACATGGCTTCAGCAAGAGCTCAACCAACAGGAACGCCAGGCAGGTTTCTGCTGTTGCTTGACATGGGCTCATGTAGCTCAGGCTGCCTCCGACCTGATTCACTATGCTGCTGAAGAGGGCCTTGAACTTCTGATTCTCCTGCCTGTGCCTTGTTAGTGCTAGGATTATAGGCACGGACCAGGATCCCAGTTTGTACAGTGCTGGGACTGAACTCAGGGCTTCAGGCCTGCGAAGGAACCCCAGCCGACACTCTTTGCTTGGTTTAGGTAGTATCAGGAGTTGATCCTTGCATGTGCTAGGCAGGCACTTAACCACTGAGCTGTATTTCCAGGTCTGGTATGTCCCGAGTGATACTTTATATGCCCACAAAATCAGGCTTAACTCCCTCTAGAACAAGCAAATAGAATTAAAGAATACTGTGTGTGGCAAGGAAGTACACGGGGTCATGAGAACTCACACTGCATCGTCCCAGGTCCTAAGTGAGGCAACACATGAAGAGCTGGGCATGGTGTGGCCACCACAGGCTGTGGAGAAACACCAGCTCCCTCCTCTTGGCTCCCCCCCGCCCCCCAGACTGTGAGCTTGTCTGGAGAGGGAAGGACGGCTGGGGACTGAACTGGGTCTCACACGTACTAGGTAAGCACTCTTCCACTGAGCCACACCCAGCCCTCCTGGGTCTAAGTCCTCAAACGGAGGGAGTTCAGGACTCACATCTGGATTTTGTCCATCCCGTCATATTTAGGAAGGTGGAGGGGAGTGCTCAAGCCCGTGTATGCTGCACACACTGTGACTAAAAGCCGATCACCTCTCAAGCTGGACCATCCCCCAGCACCAGCTCACTAGCCATGGTGACAGACAGGCACAGCAGCCAGGGCCTCGTCCTCCTGTGGGTAACAGAATGAGCTACACTGACCAGCTGGCTCCTGTTTGCACTGATATTTGATCTATGACAACTACCAGAGATGACGCTGGAAGAGCGCCCCAAGAGGTCACACAGCCCTGGCAGATATCACTCCACAGTCACGGCTGACAGCCTTCCTCCTGCAGGGCACGCTGACCCCTCTGCCACGTCCCAGCACGGCGGAGTGAGGATGTGGTGACCCCGAATGCCGTCTCTGTGCGCACGAGCACACCACTCAGTGGGTACCTCAGGACAGGCCCTCACCACATACCTCCTCACAGACTTCCCGGACTGCTGCCACACTGGGCTCCTCCTCGGGCTCCATGCCTCCTCCGGGGACAATCCATCGGTCTGGATGGCGGCTACTGCTCACGAGCAGCACCTGGAGTCAGAGGTCACAGGGAGGATTAAACAGTCAAGAAAACACTCACAAATCAGTCCAGATAAAACAAATGCCACAGTAACTAAGAACCAGCTCCTGTTTACACCTCCAAATAACTTTTACGAGGCAGTGTCTTGTGTTGGGAACAGCAGGCACTCTGCCCAGGACAGGCCAAGGGCATCTGCTGGGAACCACCGTGGGCTGTGGGCTGTACCTTCCTTCACACTCAGCCGCCTGTGTCCTGCTCTCCCCCCTCTCCTGGTTCGGAAGCCCTCAGAACACGGCACCGATGAGGTGATAAGTAAACAGGAGCAACTGACAGCCTGGAAACGCCGAGGAGGAGGAGGAGGAGGAGGAGGAGGAGGAGGAGGACGACGACGACGACGACGACGACGACGACCGTGGACGCACCCCAGGCCACAGCGCCGTCCCGAGCCCGCAGCACACTCCAAGGGCTGAGCTCCCTCCCGGTTCTGGAGCAGCCGTCCCTCCTCTACTGACTCGACGGAGCGACAGCGGACGAGGGAGCTCCAGTGATCTCTTATCTTTAAATGTTATCACGTCATGTGATCATCTCGTGCAGAGTATGGCTGTGCACAGAGGCCAGAAGAGGACGGTGGATCCCTTACAGCTGTATTTACAAACAGCTGTGAGCTGCCGTGTGGTGCTGGGAAATGAACCAGGGCACTCTGAAAGAGCAGCCAATAATCTCAACTGCTGAGTTATCTCTCCAGCCCTGGAGCTCTTTTATATTCTTTTTTAAAAAATTTATTTATATTCTTTTTTTTTTTTTTTTTTTTTTAAGGTATGGGTGCTCTGTCTGCATATATGCCTGCAGGCCAGAAGAGGGCATCAGATCCCATTATAGATGGTTGTGAGCCACCATGCAGTTGCTAGGAATTGAACTCAGGACCTCTGGAAGAAAGAACAGCCAGTGCTCTTAACCACTGAGCCATTCTTTTTTAATGCATTCTAAGTTCTGGGTGGCTGACGCAATTAATCCCAGCACTCAGGAGGCAGAGGCAGTTGGGTCTCTGCAAGTTCGAGGCCAGCCTGGTCTATGGGACTGTGGTGATATATTGTGTACCCTAATAAAAATTGCCTGAAGATCAGAGAACAGGAGAAGCCACTTGATAAAATATAGAGGCCAGGCAGTGGTGGCACACACCCTTAATCCTAGCACTCAGGACTGTGAGTTCAAAGCCACCCTGGACTATATGAGATTGATTCAGTATGGGAGAGAAACAGCCAGGCAGTGGTGGCACACACAATACTTGGGAGTCATACACCTTTAATCCCAGTATCTGGGAAGCACACATGCCAGTAATCCCAGCACTAGGAAGGAAGTGATACAGCTGGGCAGAGAAAGGAGACAGGAACTAGAAGGCTTTTTGGCTGATGAACTTTTGGCTGAAGATTGAGAGGCGTTCAGTCAGAGGATCTGTGGAGTTGTCGAGGTGAGGCGTGGCAGTGGCTTGTCCCTTTGTCTCTTTGATCTTTGAGCAAATTTTATTAGGGTACACAACATATCACCACACAGGGCCAGTTCCAGGACAGCCAAGCCTACAGAGAAGAAACCCTGTCTCAAAAAACCAAAGGAAGGAAGGAAGGAAGGAAGGAAGGAAGGAAGGAAGGAAGGAAGGAAGGAAGGAAGGAGGGAGGGAGGAAGGGAGAGAGGAAGGGAGGAAGGGAGGGAGGGAAAGAGGAGGAGGAGGAGGAGGAGGAGGAGGAGGAGGAGGAGGAGGAGGACAGAAAGATGACACAGTGAGTTCCTAGATAGCTAGGGCTCTGGAGAGAGACCCTGTCTGGGAAAGAAAAAGAATGGGAAGACATGGCTGGACAGACGGCCCAGCACCTAAGTGGGCTTGCTGTTCTCAGAGGACTCAGCTTGGTTGCCAGCACTCACACTGGGTAGCTCATAAGCACCTATCTCGGGGAATCCAACACCTTCCTTCCTCACTCGGCAGGGAACACACTCATGTGTACACACCCACACATACATACACAGCAGTTTTTAAAAACTAATACAAATAAACCTTTAAGGATTGTAGTTTTACTAATTCTGACTTAACCAGCATTCTGATGATGGCTGCAATCAAAATGTTAATTGCTCCAGTTCCTCCACCATGCACTCTCTGGAACTCCCAGGTGAAGGTGCAGATGAACTGCCATTATTTCCAAAGCTAAAGTAACACCAACTGTTCCTCACACCTCAGGCTCTGGTGATGACTGAGCCTCGTCCTGTTCTACATGCCTCCCCACCCAGCAGCCATCCTTGTCGCTGCAATGTGCTTCTGCCTTTGCTGCCACACCTCTGCATAATTAATGACCCCATACAATGTTATGAGATGCTTAAAGCTGAAAAGGAAGTAAAATAAATTGTTGAAAGTCAATCAATTAATGATCACAAGGCAATTCCTAGGATTTTAATGCTATTTTTCCTTCAAAAATATCTACTTTAAAATTCTAAAGTTATTTTTCAGTCTAGAGGAGCTTGAAACACCCTGCAGACGGCAGGGCTGTCTGGTAGGGCAGAGCAACCCTGTGCCTCTTCCCGAGGACTGCCGTGCTGGGTAGTCACCAGTAACTCCTACCACTTCCACCCTGGGAGCAGCAGTGCATTTTAGAAACAACATGGAGAATCACTCTTGAGCATGGGCCCACCCAGAGTATGTATGGGTGGAAAGGACACAATGGCTGACTCCATGGCCTGGGGAGTTTGGAAAAAGCACTAGGGATGACCTAGCAGGCCAAGAAGAACTCTAAGCTCAATATTCTAAGCAATGTCTGCTGGGAGAATTAAATATCTTGGATACTCTGGTTTTTCAACATCACTGAAACAAATAAGCAACAGCATTCCTGACCTCCCCAACAGGGTATTCCCCCTCAGGACGGAGCTGTAAGATGCACTGGAAAAGCCCTGCTGTGCACGGGCGATTGTGCCCGGCCATATTCTCTCTGTTCTCGGAAAGACAAGTTCACTGGAAACAAAGGCAAGCATCAATCAACTGTTCATGCTCCAACCTACCTTAAGATGTGAAAATTAAACCACAGGCATGGTGCTGTCTTCTTTACACAACAGGACAGGACATAGCCTTGTGTCACCAGACTGCTGCTAACACATCAGTCCCACAAATGAAAAGAAAAATGTTCATCCCTCCAGACTTTTTCAGGTTTTTTTTTTTTTTTTGGTGTGCATGCGTGTGTATGTAGTTTTTTTAATATATTTTATTTTTTATGTGCACTGGTGTGAGGGTGTCAGACCCCTAGAACTAGAGTTACAGACAGGTGTGAGCTGCCATGTGAGTATTGAACCTGGCTCCTCTGAAAGAACATCCAGTGCTATTAACCACTAAGCCATCTCTTCAGCCCCTATTTGTAATTTTTAATTTACAAAAAAATTTCAAATATACTTAAAGGTATAGAAAAATACAATGATTCCCAAGTAACTTCCACCCAGCTTCAATAATCATTAAGGCTTTGCCAATCTCATTTAACTTGCCTACAGCCCCCACTTGTAAGTCTTCAAAGCAAACTCCGGACATTAATAGATTCTTATTACTGAATACTTTGGTTTTCCTTCTCTAATTGACGAGTTAGCACAATACTCACAATGTCGTTCATGCACATAGCAAAGCGGACAGTTCCTTACGAGCTAAGAACAGGACCACGCTCAGATTTCTGGGATGGGAACACAAATGTTAGTTACAATGCCTGTTTACAGAGCGGGTCATTATCAGGATTTCCACAGGGTGCAAGCAGCACTGAGTAGCATTGTGTCCCTCTCTCTCTAAATCCTAGTTAGCTGAAATCAGCTTCAGTTCCCTAACACAGGAAAGGCAAGAGAAGCTGCCACACTTATTCACTAATTTGCAAAATACTGATGATGCTTAAGTAACCACTGCAGTTTTGTTGTTGCCAATCATTTTATTTAGTTAGCTAGTGCTGGGTGGCGGCAGCCCACACCTTTAATCCCAGCACTCAGGAGGCAGGGGCAGGTGAATCTCTGAGTTCGAGGCCAGCCTGGTCTACAGAGAGAGTTCCAGGACAGTCAGGGATACACAGTGAAACCCTGTCTCGAGAAAAATAAATAAGTCAATAGTTAGCTAGTTTGAGACATGGTTTTACACAACCCAGGCTAGCCTCCAAATTGCTATAGCTGAAGATGAGCAAGAACTCTTGGTTTTCCCCTGCCTCTACCTCCGAAGCTCTGGGATTATAGACATGTTCCACCTTGCCTGTTATGCAATTATTAACTAATAGATTTTTAAATTTCATGTGCACCAATGAAATGCAGTTGTTCATTTATTAAATGATTTATTTAGTTAACCATTTATTAAAGATTTTTAAACGTATGTATGTTTTTACTTATATGAGTGTTTGCCTGCAAGTCTGTAGGTGTATCACGTGCACACCCAGTGCCTGCAGAGGTCAGGGAAGAGCACTGGATCCCTTGGAAGTAGGATTACAGATGGTTGTGGTCTCCATGTAGGTGCTGGGACCTGAGCTTGGGGTCCTCTGAAAGAGCAACAAGTGCTTTTAACCACGGAGCCATCTCTCCAACCCATTATTATTTTTTATTTCTTTGAGACAGGGTTTCTCTGTGTAGCCCTGGCTATCCTGAAACTCACTCTGTAGACCAGGGTGGCCTTGAACTCAGAGATCTGCCTACTTTGCCTCTCAAATGCTGGGATCAAAGGTGTCTGCCATCGCCGCCTGGCTAATGTGTCTATCCTTTACCCGGAAAAGACTGCTTCATTGTAAAAATTCTGACTAAACGGCTAAGATGGAACATTTCACCCTATACCTACCAACACTTAATTCTACCAGTCATTTCTCACAAGCCTTGAACCGTGTGCGTGCGTGTGTTGAGATGAGGTTTCCTACAGGACCTGGAGCTTGCTTACTGGCTGGCCAGCTCCTGGAACCTACCCTCCTGTCTCTGACTCCTCAGCGCTCCAATGACAAATGTGCACTTGGCTTTTTAGGTGGGCAGAGGG